TAGCTCTCAGGACATGAACAGAGGTCCTGCTACTTTTCCTGTTTCTCCCTTTGTGTACGCACACGCGCTTAAAAGAAACTTGGTTCTCTCATCAGGGACGCAGCTCCTATATGGCCAGGCAGCTGTTGTGATTTAAGGATGTGTGACACTTGTTGTGTTTTTCACATACTATTCCAGATGGTTTAAATGATTTCTGTGTTCTGTGCGTTAGGGGAGAGGCTAAGAAGGATCCGTTCATAGTCTGACAGGCTCATAGTCTGACTATGACATGAATGCCTGAGAACTCTTTGATAAATTCAGAAATTACTGTTAAACACTGAAACTGGAATTTTTTGAGGATAAAAAGGATACCTCACTCTTCTAGGCTTCTTTGACAATTTCAAACTATTTTTATTTCTCTTTGAGGGTGACTTTTGCTCAGTTCATAGTTTAAAACCTATTTTTCCTTTGTAAGCATCTTCAGCTGAATACCATATCCCCCAGCAGTGATTTCACCTTTTTTTGTCCTGCATACACGTGACCTTCTTCATTTTCTGTTCAAACGCATAGGGGTTTGTTTCTCTTTCTCATTCAGAAGTACTCATCCCCCTTTCTTCTGGAGCAGCTGTGCTGGGTGGTAGTTATGGGATCAGCCTGAGGTACTGTGTGTAATGAGGTATAAAGATAGTGTTGAATTTGATTAGTGCTAGCAGAGTTTTTTAGGTTTGCCATTTTTAACCTTATTGCATGCATGAAGTGAAATTTCTGCCATTAAGGCTGTAGATGTCAGGACATGGTGACTTTTGTATGGATGAAGCAGTGGGTGTTTCCTGAGAAGCTCAAACTGAGATCTACCTGGGACAGACAGAATGAGAGGAGTTCTTTTGCGATCAGTGGCGTGGTGTAATGAGCCAGGATGCCCCTCGGCCTCCTGATCATTTGGCATATGCTGCTGTTTAGAGAAGTACCAACCCGGAGCAGAGCAGCTGGCAGGGATTTAAAGACTATTTCTAAGGTAAGTTAGTATTAGTTAAAGGAAGCCTCAGCTTGTGGCACTTGCTGTTTTGGAGTCTTTATGGCAGGACCTGGAGGGCTTTAAAGACTACTGTAGGAGTTCTTGTACTGCAGAGTACTGCACTGTTCAGTGTGCAAGTATTTTTATAGGTAGGTTCTTCAGTTTAGTTCACCTTGGCGAAAATGGGTAGGAATTATTAGTTAGTAATGTAAGCTATTTTTGAAAATTTTGTGCTACCCAGTGAATTCTTAGCTATTAACTGCATGTATTCTTTAAACCTGCAATAGACTTACAATGTCTTTCAGATTTAAAACAGCCTTTCAGGCATTACTAGAGTTTCAGGCTCAGTCTTAACTGTGTAGTTCATAGAAGGGAAAAACACTCTACTTTCTTTAACATTAAACACGAATGGAGTTGAAATGAATTATGTTTATTCCAGTTGTTAAAAGAAAACTTGGAGCCTGTTCTAGCTTGAGATCACATGCTTTCTGGGAATATATAGGTCTTATAACAAATCTTGGAATGCAAATAACAGGCACATGGCTCTCCTCTGGGTGGGAGTACAATTTATCTCAGAAAATTTGGACCCTTTAGAATGTCTCGCTGGGCTGATGTTACGGTTTGTGATGAGGTAAGAGCACTTGGTTCATTTGACTTTACCTTGCAACCCTTTTTAATTATGCTTTTGACTGGGCTTTCAACCAATACTGAAAGATCAGGACATGCATCCATTTACAGTTTGAAAATACTTGTTTCCTTGTAAACGAAGAGCACGGACACACATTTGCATTTCAGCAGACTAAAAGTGCAGACACACATTTTCATTTTATAAAAATACCCTTCAGAAAGCAGCCAGTTGAAATAACCTCAGTAAATTGGCATGTCACTACTCTTATCTCACGTGTAAATGCTAATAAGATTGTATCTAGAGAATGGAACACATCTGTGAAACTGTTGTTACGTGTGATCTTTTGCAGCTGTGGGGATTGGCCATAGTCACAGTTTGATCACTTATCTCACTTAAATTTTTAAATTTACCCTTGCAATTATAGTGTTGAATTGAAATTAAATCATGTTACATTTTAATGTATATAAGAAAGAATCTGAGTGTCAAGTCATTGTGATACACTGATGATACAATCCAGTGTTATCTCTCACTAGACTAAATTAGTTCAGCCTATTTTTTTCTATCAGTAGATCCAAAGCAAAATTACATCATATTAGATGTTATTAAATGTTAAAACTGACTCAGTTAACATCTAAACTATGCTGTAATCTTCCAAAAGCTCGTCCGCAGAAGGAAGTCCTGCATGTGTTTAAAATGCCATTCCAAACTGCATACGGTGAAGCAGACTTAAAATGGAGTCACTGTAGGTTCACCACGCTATTTGTCATGGCTGGCAATCTCCACTTGGTGAAGGTGCAAAGATAGGGTGATACGGTCAGTGGAGATGCTTCAGCAAAGCTGCTTGAGGAAAGCTTACCTTCTATGTACTTGGCTTAAGTTCCTTCTCGTTCACAGGATTTATTTGATTAATTAAGAAAAAAACTCTGAGAATTGTTCTGGGCCTTTTCAGCCTTTCATTTAATGTTCTAGCCCTGAACCCCTTTAATTCACTAGGAATTTTCATTTGACCTTAGCGTGCTCTGGACTAGATCCTAAAGGTCTTTCAGAAGGGTTGGCCCTTTTTTGTGTCAGAAGGACAAACAGACTCAACTCTATTTACGTGGCATTTGTGTATTTACCTTTTAAAATGCATCCCCTGGTTTGAAAAAGGAACACTCTTGCCTTTGAAGGGTCCATGAGCAACAGCATGAGGAATGGAGCAGACACCCATTGTGAAACGCCAGCAAGCAGCAGTTGTGTGGACAGTGGTGGTGTGCTGTTGTGCATTAGAGCTGCACCTGACCTTGGCCACTCACCAAGCTCTTCTTTTCAAAAGAAATAGCCATATTTGGTGTATCTGCAGAGAGGGATATCATTTCCTATCTCCCCCTTTACATCTGAACAGACTGGCTCATTTTTCAGTATTAGGCTTGGACTGTGCTATAATAAAGGAAGTAATGGGAAGACAGGGAAGGAAGACGAACTGGCTGGACAGGTGACTTGCAAATCTTAATATCTCTTCTTAAAATAATTTCTCCTTAGAAGTTTACCAGTTTGCTGTAAGGTTCTGATCTCACTTAGGCATCAAATTTAGTGTTGACACTCGCAATTTGTTGTGCCAGTGTATCTGAGAGTAGTAGTAGGCTTTTGGAATGACTATAACCATATAATTACTCTGTCAACTTGAGTAAGCTGATCCATGAGCTGATCTGAGCTGAGTGCAAGGACAGCTTATAAAAGAGATGGGCCTTCACTTCAGCCAGTCTTGTTCCTGGCCATTTATTCAGCATCATAGATAACGCTAGTGGATGAACTGCAATCCTCTTGCAAAATTTTTAGAATTAAATTATTTCCATATTAAAAAATTCTCTCAGCATTAATAGTTAGAACATATAATACATTCTTGGTTCCTAAAAATAAACTGAATAATTACCTCTTACCGTGATAAATCCTGATTAAACACACATTTTATATGCTAAAGTGCTAGACTAAGTGCTTCACTCTACAGACATGGACTGGATCTTGGCTGTCTGTGAGAAATTCAGTACCTTCCATAAACAGATACATATTGAAACGGTTCATAATCCTAAACCATCATCAACTTTTCCTTTTTTGCCTGTGAATAACAGTATTCAACACTGAAATATTTTACTGGGTTTCAAATTTCATAACAAAAGTTTTACTCAGCTCCACTGAAGAAAAAATTATTTCTCTGTTGAACTATCTCTCTGTAATTCCTCAGTGTTGACAGCTGACTGATTCCTCCAGCACAGGTTAGCAGTGATGCCTGCTGATTTTTCTCTGCAGAATGTGTACCGCAAAAGCTATCCTCATATACTTGTCTCATCTTCTCTTTTATTCCAAATATAATTAAAACTGCAATATTCACTAGATTGTGGCCCACAGCATAAGCCAGATTTTAAATGAAGGCATGGCCTGGTCTCCATCAGACACAGGCATTCTCCATACAGTCTTGCGTGCCTCTGTAGGTTATTCAGGTTCCTCCAGCAAAATGACCTTGTTCGTGATGGACAGTATCTGTCCAAATGGTTTAATTATTTGTGTTCTTACTGACCAGTGCTTGTGAGGTGCAATAGCATATATGAAAATGAACTGTTGAAAATTTGTGTAACTGTATGATTTGAGGTAAGTACTGCTTTACTTTTATGAGTTAATCCTGGAAGATCTGAGCTCTTCTGAGTCTGTTAATCAGTGCCACTTCTTTATAATTTGAGTCCTACTGCTGTCACTAACAGCAACAGCGTCTGGGTCTGTGCCTGGCATATGAGAAGGAGTCCAGTTCTTCAGGTAGTGTGCACTTTCTGTTTTAGGATAGCAAACAATTATAAATTATATAAAACAATTTGGGAATCTCTATCCAGAGAGCTTCATAGGAGATCTTCGAACAGTGACGGCTCCAGTTTCTCATGCCAAGTGCGTGAAGATCATGTGTTCGCTGTCTGTATTCCATATTATTTCATTATTTTGTGATTCCTTCTCTCCTCAAGGGTATCTTGGAAAGTGCTTTCTAATATGCCCTTTCTTCATTTCTAATACAGCAACAAAACATCAAAGCACAATTTCTAAGGTTTTACAATACTCTCCTTCCTTGTAATCAGGAAAAGACCCTTGTCTCACTGTTATTCAAAGTGCTCTGCTGTAATAATCATCACCAGTTTCAAACTGAGGCAGAGCATGATAGTCAAAGAATGAAAGTAGCCTGTACAACACCGCTAACTACAAGATCCATTTGTTGCCAGTCAGTAGGAGCATCATTGGATAATAGATTTGTCTGGTGCTTTCAAAGACCAAGATGATAGACATTATAAAGTTAAGCTAAGCAATAGTTTTTCGTCTATAAATACTTTTTCCTGATTTTCTTTTTCTCCCTCTCCTCAGAGCTCCAGAACAGCTCGCTCTGAGGAAGACCGAGACTCACTGTGGGATGCCTGGGGTTCGTGGAGTGAATGTTCACGCACTTGTGGAGGAGGCGCTTCATATTCATTGAGACGATGCCTGAGCAGCAAGTAAGTTGGTGAATGCGTTTTACTTTACTAATGGGAGAATTCAACCAGCCAGTATATATCAGATATCAGACCATAAGAAGCAATCAGTAGAGATCTTGAACTATGCTGAAATTTCAGCCTCACTGTTAGAAAATAATGGGTTGTGTTTTCATAATTGAGGCAGCCAGCCAACATGTTTTGATAAGCCAGCACCGCTTTAAAATATAGTGAGAACTTATGGAGATACAAAAGTTTCCTGCACAGTTTACTTAAGCATGCCAAATGCTGTCAGCTACTGCAAAGTGAAGCCTCTATACACTGTCACCTTTTCCACAGTAATCCTTTTCCTGCACATATACGAGACTACAGCTAATTCATTAGGTTTAATGGCCTACAATCTCAGCCGTATTGAGAAAAAAAAGTATTACATTGACCCAAAATATCCTGAACTATATAAATAAGAATGACAATTGTGCTGAGGGTAATCCTACAAATTAAATTTCAGGTAAGAAAGCTTCCGTATCATCAAATATTCCCCAGCAGTAAGAGGCAGCATGCCCCGGTGCAAAGGTGCAATTAACCAGAATCAGGTACCCTGGATTTTAATCCTGCCTGGTTACTAAATTGCAATGGAATGAAGACAGGTCACTTGACATCATTTCCACTCTATGTTATATGTAAGTTTAATTTGCAAAATATTTCTAGCAAATATTATTTCTATTTACATTAGTAAAATTACCTGCAAAAAACAGAATATAAATGATAAATATTAACAGATTCCTTATAAAGGATATGAAGGAAAACTACAGACCCAAATTTTGTGGCTTATTGCCATCTTTGAGACCTTGGATATTGTAGTATAAAATACGTAATGTAATTTTCCATCTTGCGTATGTATTTTCCTGTATTTTCTTTCATGTTCTTATAAAACTAATGTTAATAAAACAAATCAGAACCGTACACTCCAAAATTGTTTCTTTTGTCTAACATTTAATTTATGATTCTGTTTGGTGATGACAAGAAACAGCACAAGATATTGAATTATAAGGTCAGAATAGAAGATTGTGCATTTTAGCTTTATCTGTGGACAATTCAGTCTCCTAGTGCCAGTAATTACTGGGTTGGTAGTGTACAACAGTCTGCTGGGAAGGAAAAGATAAGTAAAGGCTGAAAAGACTGAAATCAGTAGGAAGACAGTACTCTTCTGTTCCATTCCCATGGGAGAAGTATCAAAATAATTTGGCTTTTAAACTTAGGGCCAAATTCCCATGTCTTGGTAGGTCTGTAGCAAACAGGCGTTCTGCAGAGACCTAGCAATCAGGAATTGCAGAGATAGGAACGCCTTGTTGTCAGTCACAGCGCGGATCATAGCTGCCCTTTTTAGACTTAGAAAAATAAATGATCTTGCAAAAGTTTCTTTTTGTAAGCAACATGCCCCAGACATATCAGGAGGTGTGGGACATCTGTGTAATATGACGGCTTCGTGATTACACCTCTGTTCCCTCACTGAAAACTGCCTCCTAGAGAAGAGAAGTGTTGGAGCTTCGTAACAGTAGTAGTCATAGGGCTCTGTAGTATGTAAGCATATGGCGTTCCTTCTGGGCAGACTGTCCAGTTTCTCTTTGATTCTAGCGCTGTTCAGGTCCCTGAGGCTACCCCAGGGAAATAGGGAATAAAGTCATAAATCATAAAGTACCTGTCTTTCATGCAATAACTTTCTGCTGTCCCTTCAGTACATCAGCAATGCTTCCTGCCATACAAAACAAAATGCAGATTTTGGCCCATTCAGAGATGGAAGCCCTCTGTTTCCGGGATAGGATACAGAGGTTTAATTAGGTGCACAACTTCCACCAGCCAATAGCAGTAACTTATAAATGCTTAAACTGGAACCTGAATTAGCAGAGTATCCAGTGTGTGATTATTTTTCCTTTTTTTCTGGTCTGAATGCAATTACTAATGAAAAAGAAGAGTTCTAAATAATAATTTTTGTGCTGGGCAAGGATTTTAGGATGCATAAAAAAAAAAAAAAAAAGGGGGAAAGGCAGGAGGCAGCAGAGGAAAGCAAGCCATCCAAACCTTACGGGTTTGGAAATAAGCCTAAATGCACAAGAATTCCAAATTCGGCAAGGGTAGGAAAAAATGTCCAGCTCTTTGGGACAACTTGCTCTTTGGGACAATTTGGAAAAGGGAGTGCCTCAGCTCTGAAGAAATACAAAGACCAATTGCCCATTCTTAAACACCATTAAGATTAAATAAAGGAAACCAGTTTTATTTCCAACTTTTATTTGCCAAAGTTATGACAGTGCTTCTGTTGTTTGTCCTAGGAACATGCTTTGTGTTAGTGTTTTGCAGATACAATGAAAAGAATGGAAAGTGCTAGTGTGAAATCCTATTTTCTACTATTTTAGTTGACAAATACTTCAGAGTAGGGGCTGTTGAATAGTACTCGTACTTAGAGCAGCTGGTCCTGATTACGCATAGAAGATTTAATGATAGTCATAGAAATAAAAAATAGGCCAGTCACATAGGAACATGGGAGTTGTCCGCCTGAGTCAGTCATGAGGCCTAGTATCCTGTTTGAACAGGGACTGGCACTGCCTTTCTCAGATGTTACAGTCATCCCCAGAAAGGTAACACTGAGATAATTACTGATTAGTGACTAGGCTAAATCTCAAAGCCTGAAACTTTTCATACTTTCTAATCCTCTTTGTTGGCGTTAACTATTTACATCTTGTTATTCACATAAAGGGCCAGACCCGCTTTGAATCTCACAGAGCTGTTTGCCTCAACTCACTTGTGAAAGTGGACCTCTCATACTACCTATCTGTTGCACAAAGTATTTATTTTTATCAGTTCAGAGTGTTTTGCCCTTGAGTTTCAATGTTTTTTGGTACAAAGCTCAGAAAAGAGAAACTCCTCAGCTGTCTCCTCTCTATCATGACTTGTCATGTGATAAGCAGTGTGCTTTTTATTTTTTTAACTAATACCAGAGAATGTCAAAGTAGGAAACCATGGATAAGGAAGGGGAATGACTGCCATCCTTCTTCAGACTGATAGCAAAGAGGAAGGGTGGAATGACCCCAGGAAAGGCTGAAGGCTCTTCACAGCAAGTTGGTGGTAGGTGTGGCTGGAGCAGAAAAGGAGACTGTGCGGGGTGGTTCCACGAACGCTGGCGAGAATCATCTGCGCTAGGAAAGCCCGAGCTGTGCCAGGACAAGGGCTGTGGGGTGTGCTGGCATGCTCCAGCTCCTACCATGAATAGAGGGTTGCCAGATGGCACTGCCTCACTGGCCAAAACCTGTAGAAAGGAGAACCAAAGGCCACTGTTTGTTTTTTTTTTTTCCCCGAGGCCCAAGCTAGCAACTGTTGTGCTTCTGTAAAGTTTTATTAACTACTGGATACCTCGCCTACAGGCACCCTGGAAATATATAGGCAGAGTAGGTCATTGGGATATGGTCATTACCTTGTTCCTCAGAAGTGGCTTTTATGTATTGCTGTCCTCTATTGCACTGCCCAGTTGTAGTGAAAATACTAGTATGTCATCCAGGATAGTGATTGATAGTAGTCTTTTGTTCAGTCGAGGTGTTTAAAAAGTGTGTATGATGGTTCAAGAGACTCAAACAGAATGGTAAATAACTGAATGTTCTTTAGGAACCTGAAGTTCATGCGAATTTATTTCTTTTCTTTATATCGTAATATATTTTCAAACCTAAAAGATCCTGGTGCCAAAAATATGCCATGTGTTTTGGAATTCTGTTTTACATATTAGCAGATGTTGCACTAAATATTAAAATTGTTTTACCACTTCTAGGCTTGGCAGGATGGTAATTGTGATTTTTTTTCCTATCTTCCAGATTTATCATCAATTTCTAATAAAATAAGGCTGTAGAGAGCAAAAAAGCAGGATGTCTTAGAGCTATGGGAATGATTTTGGCAGATAATAGATAAATAGCCAGTTTTTCAGTCTGCTTAGAAATCCTATCCGTTATTGTTGCGGCTGTTTCTGGCTAAACCATGAAGCAGGAAACAGGTTGTATAAATGTACGGCACTAAGCTAGACGTGAAGTTGCGTGGATACTGAATCTAAGTTTAAGGGTCAAAATCCATGATGACCGTAGCTCTTATCTCTGGGAAATGCGGTGTAAACTGTTGACCAGAGTGGAGGTTTTTTGCCGTGAGATGACTGATACATGTTCAGTAGGGGAAGAAAGTTAACGTTAACATCTTACTTACAAGTTTTCCTCAGCAATAGAAGTGACAGAGGTAAAAAAAAAAAAAAATAGGGAACTCACATGAGAGAGTCGTAGTCCTAGCTTTGTTTAGATGCTTTATGCTAATTTTGTTACTTGCTGGAATTTTTTCCTCTTTTTTCAACTTCTTCCCTTCCTTCCTTCAGCTCTAATGGCTGGCCTGTAGTAATGCAAACCAAATGGCAGTGTGAATGAGTGTTTCTACCCACTCTGCTTGCTACATTAGCTGAAGTAAGAGATTCTATAGATTGGATGCTAAGCCCACTGCTGTTGCATATTGCAGGATGAAAAGAGTATATCTGCATAATTGATGCAGATTCTATTGCAGTTTGACTCAGTCGCTCAGTAAAACAGTCACTGAGATAGATAGCTTTGGAGATTAGGTTTAGTGATGAGCTGAATTAGTTAAAATTAGCTCAGTTTTATAGTATGTGACAATTTTTATTGAACAGGATATAGCCTAGAATATGATAGATTTATTTCATCAAAGATTAATGCTTTCTGATTTTCATCACACAGATTATCAGTTTAAGAATCAAGCATCAAATAGTTCAGTGGCTGCCGAACTGACAGAGTAGCTGCAATGGCATGTTATTTGTGTTAATTTAAAATTAAATGATAAAAGAACCCATTGCCACAACACTGACTAGCACTGAAAAGGGGATGTATCCAATACTATGTATCTAAAAAATATCGTTTACAGTTTCAGTTTTATATACCTTTGATACCAAAGCATTGCCCACTGTTGTGTTGCTGCTTTACTAATGAATT